CATTAATGGTCTCCTGTAGCAACTTTCTGTGAAGAGATCTTTCTAATGTAATTTCCAGTAGATGGTACTGGATTGCAAGGTTTTTTACATTTGTGATCTCCCAAAACTGACCTTCACTGCTTCCAGAAGCCAGTACGAGGGTGTTGCTTGGGTTGGGATTTGTTTTGACTTCCTATTAATGGCAATCCCTGTCTTATGTCAGTCACAAAGGCAAACAGCAATTCTACTACTGGATGCCAGTTTTGGGAGCCCAAGTGGTGGCATGGCTCTGTGGTTCCATTTCTTTATCTAAAACGCCACTGACCTCCTGGACAGTGGAGAGCCACATGGCGGAAACCCATACGCTGGCATATGCTGGCTCAGTCACTGTTCACTCTGCTCACCGTGCTGAACTGTCTCCCATAGCACTCTATTCTTCCAAGCCGAAGGGAGCTTGAAGCTCCCAGCTGTGGGGCTGTGTCTGTGGGCTGTCTGAGCTTTCCTTCCTTCTCACCTTTGCATTTATTCCCATTTGCCCACCTTCAGATGTTTCAATGCATGGGTCTCTGCATTGAATAGGGAATTCTTTATTAAATTAATTTGTTGATATTTCAGGGAAGACACCATGTCATTCCTCTAACACAGGGGTCCTCAAACTGCGGCCTGCCGAAAACATTTATCCGGCCCGCCGGGTGTTTTTGCCGCTGCTGTGTGCATAGGAATTTGTTCATTGTTTTTTTTTTTAAACTATAGTCCGGCCCTCCAACGGTCTGAGGGATAGTGAACTGGCCCCCTGTTTAAAAAGTCTGAAGACCCCTGCTCTAACATCATCTCAAGAATACTATGTTTTGAAGTTAGATTATAAAGCTCAAACATTTTAATTTTTTTCAAAGTTGATAGGCGTGTTTTTTTCATAGTCTCTGATTACCAGTTTGTACCAAAAGTGTTGTATATTATGTGTAAATTAATTTGGGGCAAATTGCGATATTCATAATGTTAACTTTTCCAAACCATGAATTTAGAGTCTCTACATTTATTTAGTTCTTTTTTAATTTCTCTCAGATGTGTTTTATATGGATATTAGTAGAAACATGACCTCAATTTATTTTTATATTATTTCTTGTCAGAATATAGAAATATAATTGGTTTATAATTTGAGAGTTATTTATTTTGTAATATTATGTATTTGATTTTTTTGGTAAGATTATAAATTTTATCTCTAATTTCTTATTACCTAGCCTAGAACATCTAGGACATTATTGTGTAGAAGTGCTAATAGCAGATATTTTTGAATTGGTGCTGTTATTTTGGTAAAGCATTTTGTGTTTCAGCATTAAATTAAATGTGTTACTTACATGTTTAATAAATCCCCTTGTTATCGGAGGGTTGATTTTTGATTTTTTCAAATTTATTTCCTAAATGTATTCAGATATTTTGATGCCTTTTGTCTCTATACTAATAAAATGGGTATATTACACTTATCAGTCAGTGTTATGAATATATTATGTTGATTTTTTAAGATGTTCAACCTACCTTTATTTCTAGGTCATCCCTTATTGATCATGGTGTATAATTCTTCTTAAATATTGCCTAATTTCATTTGCTTGTATCTTCTCAAGGATATTTGCCTTGTGTTTAAGAGGAATAGTAGTCTGTGTTACTGTCTTTTCTAGTTTTGGTATTATAGTAAACGAGTTGGTAATATTTCTGTATTTTCTAAATAGATTTTGTAGGATTAATGTAATTTCAAAACATTTTTTGTACAATCTGTCATAATGCCAAATCTTGTTTTTTGATAAGGTGTAAATTTTACTTTTTATTGTTTTTATGTACTTAATTTTAAAAGCTTTGTTGGGTTAATCTTTATTAAGACAAATACTGTCTTTTTTCTAAGTTTTTTGTTTGGTTTTCTATCTATTTTATTGACTTTTTCTTCTGATTTATAGTATTTCTTTCCTTATAGTAATATTCTGTTTTGTATCTTCCCAGCTTTGTAATGTGGTAGCTTATTTATCTTAGATCTTCTAACAATGTTTTTAAAGTTATTAATATCCTAAATATAGTTTTAAACATAAATTTGAATGTATTATGTTTGATTCTCATCAAATTTCCTTGTTTCTGTTGTGACATCTAAACTGACACATGAGACATTTATTATTCTGTTCTTTATATTCCAAAACTTGGATATTTCTCACATGTTTTTGATATTTGATATAGTTCCACATTTTGAACATGTTTTGTTTGATTTCAGTTTTAATAATGTTATTGAGACTTGTTTTTGCTCCTAGTTTATGATCTGTTTTAGACAATATTTCATGTGGACTGTGAAGAATATATATTTTGTTGATTTTTTAAAAAAATATATTTTATTGATCTTTTACAGAGAGTAAGGGAGAGGGATAGAGAGTTAGAAACATTGATGAGAGAGAAACATCGATCAGTTGCCTGTAGCACACTCCCCACAGGGGATGTGCCTGCAATCAAGATACATGCCCCCGACCAGAATCGAACCCGGGACCCTTCAGTCTGCAGGCCGGCGCTCTATCCATTGAGCCAAACCAGTTAGGGCTATTTTGTTGATTTTGAGTGGAAGTGTGAGACATGTAGTTGGTTTATATTTTTGACAATTTTTTTCTTTCCTTGCCTATGTTTTTACTTGTTTTAATCAGTCATTTACAAAGAGTTAGTTAAATCTTCAACTATTGTTGAATTGTATATTTCTGTCTTTTAAAAAAATATATACTTTTTTTTTAGGGAGAGAGAAAGATGGAACCATCCAGGATGAGAGAGAATCACTGCTCAGCTGTCTCAGAACACCCCACAATGGAGATCAAGCCTGCAACTCAGGCATATTCCCTGACTGGGAATGAAAATGTGACCTTTGGTTCATAAGTTGACACTAAACTGAGCCATGCCCACTGGGCTGTATATTTCTCTTTCACATCAGAAATGTTTTACTTTATATTTTAGAATCTCAGATGTGGTAAATGTTTACTTATAGTTTTCTAAGAAAATATTTTTATCCCTGGCCAATTTGGCTCAGTGGATATAGTGTTGGCCTGCAAAGTGAAGGGTCCCGGATTCAATACATGGTCAAGTGCACATGCCCAGGTTGCTGGCTTGATCCTGGGTAGGGAATGTATAGGAGGTAGCCAATTAATGATTCTCTGGTCCTTGATTTCTCTCAATGAGCTACACTCGTGGTTGCTCCTCCTCTGGCGTGGACGTGCCACTCACCTGGCTGCTGCTCGTTGGACAGGTGCAGGCTGTTGTAGCTCTGCTCCTCGGACCACTGCATG